CAGAAAAAGGTCTTAAATTCGCTGTACTTGGGTCAGTTTGTGTGTCCTTCCCCACTACATTTGGGGAAAGCAGAGCGCTGTGCCAGCACGGACTCCCTTCTGGAAGGACAGGTGCTCGTGGTGTCTCTCTGTGCCCAGGGCAGAAAAGAAAGGTGCAAGGACTTGAAAAGGGCTAGGCAGATCAGCCCTGATCTGATCAGGCACAAGAGGGTTGATTTTTTGGCCTGTTAAGGGGAGGACTGACTTTTAGTTTGATTTGGGGGGGGGGGGGGGGGGAAAAGGGGACAGCAAGTGCAAAAACAAGCAAAGCAAAAAGCAGGGAGGATAAAACCAGTCAGGCAGCAGCAGAACTGAACCAGGCCTCATCAGTCAAGCTGTGCTTTATTTTGCTAGTTTTATTTTCCTCCCACAGTTACTGAAGTGTGTTGTTCCCTTGGCTTTTCCCAGAGGGTCTGTGCCCAGATCTTCCCTACGCAGCCTGTTAGATCACAGCCCAAGGCAGAGTGTCTGCAGGCAGCACTTCTCCTTTAGCCCAAGGCTTCCTAAACTGTGACTCATGGGTAACATGCAGCCTCTAAAATCTGTGTATGTGGCTCATAAAGGGCCTTTCAATTGCAATGTCTAGCGAACAGAAGTGTTGCGTGGGAAGGAAGTGGGTCCCATCGCTCCCCAGCCTGGCGGCGTGCCCTTCCTCAAACGGTACTCTGGGTACCCTGGCTGGCATGCTGCTCTCCAGCTAGCTGCATCCCCAGCCTGCCTGCCCAGCTGGAGTGGGCATATTGAGAGATTAGTGATTGCCTTTGAGGGCTGAAATTAAGATGATTAATCTGGGACAATGAATCTGTATTAAGGGTCGGGCAGCTGGGAGGGCAGGCAGCTGCAGACTCGTGTGTTGTGCTGCATGCTGGGTGTCTGCGTATTATGCCATAGTGGGAGAGACTACTCTCGGGGCAGCTCGAGTCCAGGGGCTGAGCGGAGCATCATGCTTACGTATCAGCCTTTCTGTCTGAGCACTTTTTCCATGGTCAGTGTGTTTGGCATGGGGGTGTGTGTCTGCATCTAAACATGAAACTGCTCCTGGGAAAGGAGCTTGTGTAGCTGTAGCTGCTAATTATCCAGTCATCCCTCCAGATGGTCCTGCTCCCTCTGCAAGTCCAGCTTTGCTCTGGGTAGATTTGCTCATGGGCTAATTACCCCAGCCCATGAGTTATGGCATGCTGAGCCTTCCTTTCCTTTCCCTTCCCTTCCCTTCCCACTGCTGAAAGCCATTAGCGATCAGGAAATTCCTGCTGTCGGTGTTGCGGTAGGATGTTGCTTCCATGCCAGCAAAGGAAATAAGTTTTTGTTGAGTTTCACAGCTCTACCTGGTGCTGGAGTAGGTTTTCCTGGATGATCATTTATAAAACAGTATGTCATCTGGAGTGGTGCTTCCAGATCAAAGCTTTGGCCAGCATTGCTTTAAAGGAAACTGGAGCAAGTGATGTGCCCAGATCATGAGGGTTTGCATAGTTTCAGGGCAGCAGGTTATCCAGGGTCTAAGACTGGCCTCCTTGGCTCTCCCTCCTGCAAGTGCCAGGTTTGTGCACTGAGCTGCCCACTCGGAGGCAAAGCCTTGGGTTTTTGTATCATATCACACTGGGATTCGATGAGTATTGTGGAGACCTGCAGTGCCTAAGCTGGACCTCCAGCTGCTTTGATGAGAAAGTACCAAAAGACAGACACATCTCCTGCCATCACCTTAATGACTCATAAAATAGCTCTTTAGCTGTAACCCATGAGAGCCCTGGTTTCAAGAGTGGTGAAGTCAATCCCCCTGGGAAGCAGGTCATAGACCAGTGTTGCTTTGCTGTTTGAGGCAATGCACAGTGCAGTCAGCTTGGCCTTTCTCTGTGGGGTGGTGGATCCCTCTCACCACCACAGAGTACAGGGAGCTCTCATCTCACTCTCCTATTGAAAGACTTTAGAGCTGCTGAGCACCTGCTGAGCTCCTTGGGAGGAGGTGGCTTGTGGGACTTGTATACATGGCCTCTCAAACCTGCAGGTTTCAGAGAAGTCCCTCCTGAGGATGGTGGGGCTGGAACTGCTTTGCCCAGGGTTGCGATGCCTCACATGGAGGCACAGAGCCCTGCCAGATGTGGCCCTTGAGCAGGCGATGCCTCTGCAGTAGCTGTACTTACAGAGGTTTGTCTGTATGGGGGTTTTTATGGATTATGCCACAGCAAAGAGGTATAGGCAGGGAAGGCAGGCCATGATTTATATGGCAGCAGCCTGCCCATGCTGGGAGAGGAGTGGGCCCCATGCTGAGCACCTACATCCAGATGCCTTGTTGCCTGTGAGCAGTGGTTATCCATCTCAGGGTTTGACAGGGGCTGTGTTGCAGACTCTGCTCCTCGGCACGCTGCAGCGTTGGTGGGGAGGCTGGCTGGGGGTCTCTGCACCTCCCTGGGCTGGGGCTGGTCCAGGCTCTCCTCCCTAGTGGGCTGGGTGAGAAGAGCCACAGCAGGGTCAGCCAGGCCCTCGCGAGTGTGGCTGAGAGCAGAGCCATCGTGGTGCACCTGGGGTCCCATCATGCTGAGAGGCGCAGCCCCACCATGTTTGAGGCAGCAGGAGCCCTTCACATCTGCACCGAGCCTCTTGCTCTCAGCCCCCAGAGCTGTCTGCCTTCTCCCTGCTGCGTTGCGCAGGAGAGGCGGTCTCCCCCGCGTTGTTCCCGGCGGATGGAAATCAGGCTGCTGGAGCAGGACCTACGGAGGCGGTAACTGGCTTGAGACCCGCTGCTCCCACACAGCTGCCACCCACGTGGTGCGGGGCGCCAGGCAGCTGTGCACCTTGCTCCACTCGGGCCAAAGTGCAGATGCCAGGGCTCTGCCTGCTGCTCCTGAGCCAAGAGAAGTTGCTTCCTGTGTGTGTGTCTCCTCCCTCTTTTTCTTCTCGAGTCCCCCAGCTATCTTTGCACACAGTCTGTAGTGCTCCCAGATGCATCCCTGCGCCTCCGTGCATTTTAATGCTTTACAAGCCCCCCCTCTGTGCAACACACTCCAGCAGTCGTAGTATCTTATCCTCTAGCAAACATGTCACTAGCACAGTACTCAGCCTTTTCTTCAGCTTGTTTTATATGGAAATCTTCCTCCGAGCAAAACCAGTTTGTGGGAGGGGAAGGAGAGGGATTTTAGGCAGTCCTGGAGGAAAAACTTTTTTTTAAGTGTTACTTCACTATCTCTTGGATCTAAGACATAGAAACTGAGAAGCAGATCTGACAGTTTTGTCTAAAGGTGTTGGACCCCTGTGCGATAGGGGAATAACTGGCAAGTTTCGTCACCAGTGAGCAGTGCCTAATTCATCTGACTGACTTGTGTATTCCTGAAGCAGGATGAATGGTCAAAACCCATCTCAAGCAATTCCTTGATGGAGGAAGAATCAAATTGCCCAGGAAAGATTGTTCAGGGTTAATTTTCCCTTCAGCTCTGCCCTGCTGTATTTGCTCCCCTAAACCCTTCTGAGCAAAGCAGCAGTCACTCAGTAACCGCACTTTAAGGAGAAAGCAATCTCAAACAATTGTACAGAATAACAGCGGTCTGGCAATCATTAGAGCCAAATTTATTCAGTAGTCAGGAACATTCAGAAACAGCTAAAGATACAGCTGTCCTGTCTTGAAGAATTACCTGCCTATCTTTTACCCACATCTTGCTTGGTCATATAATTTCTGTGTTGCCTTTTCCCTTATCTCCTGTCTGATTATATAGCATCTTAGATCCCTGCAGCTCTGAACATAGCAGATAAAGTCTGCTCTAGGACTTTGCTGAAGAGCTGCTCAAAAAGAGGTGCAGTGTGAGTGCTGGGGGATCTGCGTGAATGCTAATCAAACAGCCTGAGAAGTCCTGGGCTCCATTTGTTCGCTGTTCTGCCCCAGAACACTGCTTGGGAAAATGCACATCCCTGACATGCTGCAATTAGAGCACTTGCTTATCTTAGCCATACAGAGCCATAAACTTTATCCAGGCCAATTAAATCAGATCCACAATAAGCATACAGTTCCCATTAATGTGGACTCTTTCTTTTCTTATGTAAGTATAGGAAGAATTTGACATGGCCTTTGGCTGGGAGTCTCCTTGTTAAAGTTCAGCTCACTCATCCTGGAGATGTGCTGAGGAGCAAAGTTATTGGAGAGCTGCTTTGCTTTCTGCTTGTCTGAAGCATGTCCTGAGCATCAGGGGAACTATCCTAGGCTCCTGAGTTGGGAACAAAAAGTTACCAGTTCTAGATTCTTCGGAAGCACCCAGGTTGCTTTTTATAGTTGTTTCTTCCCTTCCCTTCTTCTCTATACCTCTTTATTTCATCTTCACCCATCTTGCCTCATCTGCTGACTTGGAAAACTCAGGCTGCTGTAACTGAAAGGTCACTGGAGCCCTATAGGGTGCAGTAAGCAAAAAGCTGCATAGGCAAAGGTAGGGGCTGAAGTCTCAGCTGTGACTTACTGTCCCCAGTCTGATGGGGCAAAATGAGAGGGGAATCTGCAAAGAGGGGCTGGGGTTTCGTGGCAGAAGGGAGCCACAGGAGCCTTGTCCATCTACTGACAAAACAAGGGCCTTATTTTGGCGATGGGAAGAGGCAGCAGCAGTGAAGTTTTGCTGGCTAATGCTCTGAAGGAAACAGGAGAGTAAGTGAAGACTTCCAGGTGAGGAAGCCAGGGAGAAGTGTCTTTTTCAGTGACCTCCCCCTAAGTTTCTTCCTTGATGCTAATTCTGTCAACTGTATGTGAGCCTTCAGACTTTCCAGGTGTGTCTGCAGTGCACCCGATGGGCGAGTCCCAAATGGTGTACATTTAGAAGCGTTTGCTAGTGTCTTGCTCTTAAGCTGCTTCATGTCCTGAGCTGTGGGTTTCGGACTTGTGCTGCAGGATGCCTGCTGCACCTGAACCAGGGGCAGGAAGTGGCACCTTTTGCTGTTGGTGGAACAGGGGGTGCCTCATTCATTTTCACCCTTCTTTCTTTCTTCTCCAGGACATACAACCTTACCTTCCTGCATCCGTACTACCGGACAGACGAAGCGGAGGAGAATCCGTTCATCTGCTCATCCCATCGTGAAAACGGCATGCAGAAATGCTCCAACATCCCAAACAGGAAGGAGTACAAGGTGGAGTGCACCTTGAGCATGGACTCCTACTCCCCGAGTTTATACAACCCTGCTGCATAAACTGGAACCAGTATTACAATGTATGCATGGCAGGGGATGTAAACCCACATAACGGAGCTATCAATTTTGATAACATTGGCTACGCTTGGATAGCTATTTTTCAGGTAGGGTTTTCCTAAAGATTTTTCTTTTTTTGTTTTGTCATCCTTTGCTTGGAAGGATTTTGATGGATGCATCAGTGGTGAAAGGAATTTGCTTGCACTAGCATGAAACTGTAGCTAAAGACACATCAAATAAATGAATCAGACAATAACCTGCAGAAATGCTCCAAGAGAGCATTTGGAGAGAGGAAAAGAATAGCCATTTTTCAGTGCATTTTAGAGGAGAGGGAAAATACTACTTAATCTGACAGACAAAAGTATAGCAGGTTCTAGTGCTGCCAACCGGACCCAGAGGAATGTCAGGGTGGAAACAAGGCATGGGTTTTTGAGGGTTGCAGTCATCATCCATTGCTGTAGTATCAAGAAATGGAGGGTGTTGTCAAAAGTTCTTGAAGCAAGACTCAATATCATCCTGAAACACAGGGTCTGGCTCAATGATGTGGTTTGGCCTTGATGCTAGAATTACTGGTTTATACTGCTTAGTGTGGTATGCTGGAGGTAGGAATAGGTAATCCTAGTAGACCGTTCTGGCTAGAGTACGTGTGAAGAGGTACCTACTTGTGTGAGGCTTGAGTCTTTGTTGATCCGCACCTATGCAGTCTGTCACTCAAGTTCGACATGCTTCTGGGTCCGATTGGGGAATCTTTACAGATCACAGGTAACAAAACCACTCTAGTGGACTGAAGCATGTCCAAAGTATTTGTAGCTCTGGAACATTAGACAGATAATATACAGAGTCCAGGGGCTATGGTCTCTTAGGGCTAGCCTATTTAAAATGATCTGTATACCATCTTCCATTTTTAATTGACACTTTCTGTTATTTTAATATGAATTTTTACGCTTTCAGCTAGATGCCTTGTTTTATTTAGTCATCCTAAAGTGTAGGTGACATCTGTTCCCAGATGAGAGAAACAATCTCCTTTTAGTTTTGTTAATGACTAATAAATTACCCATTCACAGGTCTAACTTACTTTTCTGAATTTCTTTCTAGTTCCATATTATATTGTGAACTTAACAACTTTTAACTTTCATCTGGGAGTTATAAAGGGACAATTGCTTGCTCTGAGCATTTTGTTTGTTCTCTCATGTTGCCACAATAGCGCAAACTGAATCACACTGTTGTTGATGTCAGAGGCTCACAACCAAATCCAGAAAGGTTCAAATGGATCCCAGGCCTCTACTAGGCTAAGTTTTTAAAAATGCTTTGGTATCTGCTTAGAATTAATGCCTCGAGAAGGGAGCTGCTGTGGTAATTTTGAATATTCCTGACTGGTAGTGAGCACTGCATAAAGTAAAGAGGGAAATCAAAGTGAGAATAGTAGTCTGCAGCTGCATTTGCATTCTTTTGTTTGTTTTTTGATTTTTTTTTTTTTGTTTGCATATATCTGACAGAGCTTGATGGGTAAGCTCAAGAGGTGCATCTTTAGGGGTCCTGCTTCCCATTTTATTTCCAAAGTGTCTCTGCAGGTGGTAAGCTTTCATTTCATGTAGAGATTTCATTGCGTGGGCATGTGTCATCTAGAAGTGTACAGTTTAACCCAGGAAGAACACACCAGCCATGGCAAATGTTTGAACCGATTGCTCTGGCAAGAACAGCAGGTGTGGCGAAGTTGGATATTGTATCCAAAGATCACTTGACATCCTGCTTGCGGATGCCAGGAGGTTTATGCTTGGTTTTAATGCTGCTTGGGCCATCTAAATACTAAAAAGCATTTCTAGCCAAAGGCTCTTACATCTTTATTCCATTGAATGTTTTCACTCTAAGTTTTTAGAAACTGAAAACAATAGTACTCCAGGTAAAGAAGTAGCTGTTGGGAGTAAGGTAATTACTTAACTATGCTATGGAAAGAGTATTACAGCAAGAACTTAGATACTAAATCAAAACAATTGCTGTAAGCAGAGAGCATTTAACAAATAAACCTATTGAGTTGTGCTATCATTGCATTTAATATTTGAAGATGGGTAGCACAGGTCAGCAGTGAGATGAGGAAGTAATGCAGAAACTAGAACCAATGGTTTTAGTAGTCCAGGAACTTCCCTGTAAATTGGTATTGAATTACTGGGCAGAAAGCATTCTGCTGTCTTCTGGATGAGATTGATCCAATTGCCCTGATCCCTTCCGGGGAATAATGAATATGCAGTATTTGTTTGCAAGAGTTATAATGGAGGACTGAACCTCATGGTCTGGCAAGCCTCCAGTTTGCATAATGGCAATCTTAGGACTCAGCTGGATAGAGCATCATTCATGATTTATCCCAAATGAGCTGAAAACCATGCATGATTTAAGAGCTATCAGAAAGGAGGCTGGACAAATGAGCCCCACAAGTGAGACTGGACAGGAAGCTTGTAAGTGCAGTGACTGCAACCCATGCCCAAGAGTTTCCAAGGGTATAGTCTTATGCTGTGCAGACTGCACAAAACCAAAGCAGACTTTGACAGGGAGATCTGAACACCTTTATTCCAAAGCGTCCGTGTGAATGGTATGTCAAGGCAGGAGGCTAGCAGTATGGCCAAGACAAGAGAGGGAACAAAACGCAAGCCATCCTGAGGATAGGTGAAGGCTTTCAGGAACACACATGAATGAATGTAATGAAAATTCCTCCCCTGTGTCATTTTGTAAGGTCCTTAAAAGGAGTCTTAGAGACCCCACTGAATTCAGAATAGGAAGGAAGGGAAGCTATGAGGCCTTTAACTTCATGATAGTAATTCTAAATTTGCAAGTAACCTGGCATGTGGCAGTGGGGCCCACCAAACAAAGTGAAATGTGGTGTTGACCTATTGAGGAGAAGAGTGAGTCGGAGGCGCTAAACAGGAGACCTAAGTCAGCGCAAATAATAGTCTTAAACTAATAAAGACAACTGTATCCATGGGTGTTTGAAAGGATAATAATTCCTTATGTAATCCTGCAAATGATTCATGTTCCGATTCCCCTCATTTGTTGTGTAATAGGCTAATTCATGTGTATATTTGTTACAAAGGCATGTTCAATGGCAAATTATATGAACTAATTAGCTTATTGCAGAATAAATGAAAGGAGATAGAACCTAAATTAACTGTGAGGTTTGGCATGATATTAAGATCCCTTTATTGCACATGAATTTCAGCAGCAACAATAAGAGCGTTAATTACAGGTACTGTTGTCACACTGCAAATGATGAATTACCCACCTAACCAAAGTCCAATTTAATGTGAATTACCAACAGTGTCTCACTGGGGCAACCGAAACACTGCTACCTTCCTGTCCAGCGGTCTCAGTATGGCCCACTTTGGCTGCAGAAACAGTATTGTAAAAAAGGGAGGTTGGATGATGCTGAGATGCACGGTTTGCGAAGAAAAGAAATGATTTAGACTACTTTGCAAACTGCAGAACCATTGCTTGGATGATTTCACGTTTGACTTGCAGAAACAAAAGACCTACAAAACACCTTACATCAGGAGGCAAAACTAGTGAGGCGAAGTTGAAATCATCAAGCCGTAATCATCTATTAGCCAGAAGTAAAGAGAGGTCTAGAAAATAAACCACTGCTATACCTCCTTCCAGGATGTATTTGGATAAATTGAACTTAGAGGGCAAATATAGAAGGACTTGCAGAAAATGTGCATCCTTCAAGGGACAGGTTTGTCTGGCAATTTGAGGTTGGTAGGAAGATGCACCTGATGATAGAGTTACCTTTTCAATGGCTTCTTTCTCATGTGTTGTGTTCCAGAAGTGGCTACGTTTTCTAAGAGTCTTCCTTAATGAAAGACTCTCTGGAAACTCTCCTTGGATGCAGCTCTCAGATCCGTAACTCTTTTTGGCTTATGCTTTTTTGAGTGCATATTGCTTCTGTGAGGCGTTGCTGTAAGAAGACATTTCAGTTAACAAGTTAATCAAGTCATACAAGTAACACATCTCTGGCCCATCATCAGAAGGCCCCCGTGAGGGAATTCTCAGAGGAGACTGTTTTGCATTCAGCAGCCCCCTTGCTGCTGTCAAAAAAAAAAAAAAAAAAGCTAGTTGTGTTTGCAAGAGCTGAAGACAGCCCAGCAGGCACACGACATGATGAGAATGCCCAAGAAAGGAAAAGCTGAATCACCTTCTCAAAGAAAGATGTCTCAGAATACAGAAGCATTAAAGGAACTGTCAGCAGCAACAAGAGTTTGCTATGTGATCTCGATTGCTTGCTTAGATGGAGAACTTCTGGTTGCACCTGGTCTCACTGAAGCCAGGAGTATGTTACAGCCATGAAGGTACAGATGACAAAAATTGCACTGGTCAGGGGAAAAAAAAATTTGGAATGAGAGAGCAAGGGGGATTGATGCCACCCATTTTCTCCTTTATTTGTCCTTCTGGATACTTTCCTCCTAGGCAGGCTGCCTCCGCAGGTATGATAGGTAGCAGAGCCAAATGCCACCCTCTTCTGTGCTCCATCATGTCAAAGAAGCCCCTGAGAGCTTCCAGGAGTTATCTCAGTCTAATTCATGATTTATTAAATTTGACCATGTGCTATGTGCACACGAGGAGCTCATTTTGTGTCCATGTTGCTGACCCTGCTTCTGCAGGGGTCTGCACCCCTGCTAGCTGTACCTGTAAATGGGTTAGTCAAGGAGATTCAGACCTTAGGGTCGGACTTCAGGTCTGGAAAGGGGAAGATTCATTTGTCCCATTCCTGTGGAAACCATTGTTAGTGCCCTGATCTGCTCCACAGCCATTATCCACATCACATTGTTTCAGCTTTTGTTTGTGATGATTGAAATTCTTCCCTGAGGAATTCTCCCTCGCCTGAAAATCCTTCAGCTAAGTCTGTAATGGGAACCACATCTTCTATTCATATTAAAGGAAAAATTACAGGCGCTTCAATGCAGTTCTGCTATGGCCAAGCGCAAAAATGAGCCTGGAGTCCCTCCTAGCTTATACTAATCTCAGTCAGTCAAGAAGAGATCCTCTGAGGAGATGAGACACTAAGCTCTAACATTGCTTTCCCTTAGAGTAAGCATAAAAGGCCACCCTGGAACCTACTGGT